GGGGGGGAATCAGCAACAAGACCTGACCTCTTAGTCTCTTAATATGATCGCATATGATCGCAAGAATATTTAACTCAAATATTTATCAGGGCATCTTCTTTAAAAGTGACCATGTCAATCTTTAGTATATGGCTGTTATAATGTTGATATGGACACATTATGTATGAAAAACGGTTAGCTCAACATTTGCAGTGACTGATTTCCATGCATTAATAATCTGACCATTTAATTAAAATATAATGCCAGAAGGTCCCAATCCACAATGCAGAATGACCTAGAGAATGTCCTGTCATTGAGAGGTAGGAAGGGGGTAAGAAAGAATAGCTCAGAGACAGGTTGGTTACTTTATATCTGTGCATGTCTTAACTAAACCCTAAGTGTGTCCAAGCCCAAGGCTCCTACATGGTAAGATTTCTAGATTTATTTATGGTGCTTGGTTTTTGTTTTCTTAGTATGTTTCTTGAGTTCCATGGGTTGTGAGTGCACTGCAATGGAACAGAAGTGAGCAAACCCAGGGGGAAGTCATTGGCACTGCTTGGGCTCCTGAAAAGATACCAACACCACAATGCCCCAGACAGACCCACCCTGTGAGGGCTGATTTCTAGACCAGTGTACCCCAGAGACTCTACTTCACAAGATGAAGATGTTAGCTCAGACACTTATAATAAAAAGTTTCCTCGTTCAGCTCACTTCCTTCTTTACAAAGACACTTATCAAAAAAGCATTCTAAATTGGAATTTAGTGATCCAGGTCTCTAAAGCCCAGGGACTGGAAGAGAAGATTTCTTAATTGCACCAGCAGGTGCTTGGTTTCTAGTCTTAGTGCAGCTGGGTAATGTGGTTATGTTCCTGGTGTGTCCTGTTTCTGCATTGGCAGGGCCAGCCTTCGATTCATTGTGGGATAGAGGAGGGAAGTGGGGGGTCTCTCAAATTTCCTCTTCTTCCTGAATGGATGTAAGTATTTTATTGTTTTATATCTTAGACTGAACTATACTTAAAACATGCAATTATTAAAAGAAGGGATAACTGGATGGGAATTTGGAAATCTCTTTATTTCCTGTTCAGTGAATCTCACTATACACCCCTCATTAAAAGTGATTTGAATTGAAGCTTCTCGGCTATCCTGAGGGAGAAACAATAGGCACTTGTCATAATATCCATACCAAAGAGAAGTTTTCTTTCAGAAGTCCATTTCTGAAAATGGGAAATCTCAGTGTGCCCTCTTTGCCATTATGAGCGCCATCTATGTGCTTATTTTTTAGAGAGGAAGGGCTAATTGTTAGGAGTTGGTTTTGACCGCTCTCCCTTTCTCTGCCTGAAAGTTATTTATCCTGAACTACTGTAAATTTTTATACAAACCCATGTCCTTGTCATTTTATATGATTTATAGCTTTTGGCTACCTTCAATGTTCCAAAAAGTACAACAAAACATTGTTTAGTGAGAAAATTCAGGTTTCATTTAATTGAACTACTTGGTGAGATAAATAAAGTACCTAAATCCTTTCACTTGTTCAACTGTTCAGTTTAAAAATATGAACTGACCTTACAATGAGGCAAAAAGTAAATATCTTAGCATCATGAAGTTAATGGACTCTATTCAAAAAAATTGGTCTCAATCAAGCCACTTATTTTCAGTCATTAAAATATCTGATTCATGTGGCAATGTTCTTCTGTAGAAAAAAAATTATTTAGATTCTTGTTTTCTGGTCATCCACTACGGAAGAAGCCATACATCTCTATAACACAGAACAAAAAAACCCCAAATTTTGTCATTTTGGTAATTCTGATTAGCTTTGTCAAAGTGAGATTAAGACAGAAGGTTGTGTCTTGGCAAGAGTATTCTGGAAGGGAAAGGTGGCTAAACCTTTGCATTAGTGCATTCATATCTGGTCAAGCTGGCTTATCACAATTCAAACTTCATGCTGGGAAACTGCTCTTTCTTTGGTACCTTTTCTGCCAGAATTCAGCTCTAACAACAAAAGTTTATAAACAATGAAAATTCCAGCTGGTTGACATCAGCGTCACGAAACTTTGTCTTCACACTGATACAAATATTTACTCTGAGCTCTGGCAAATCTTTTCTTGCCCATGTCACCCTTAATCATACATTTTTCCTTGATTGAGTTATGCTTTCCAGTACGTGATTTGCTCTGGTTTACTTTTTAACACATCCCAGAGGCTTCGTCAAAATCAACTCTGGGCAGGCCATGTCATTTGGTAGCTGCCAAACATGTTACTGAGAAGAAATTTGGCAAATATCAAAACAGCCTCTTCTAACTGCTCTAATAAATGTGTTTGTTCTTTTTGACCACCATTTACATTTAGGCCTTCATATCCATAAAGTGATGAGCCAGGAAAGTAAGCAGAGATGCACTCAATTCCCTTTAATCCATTCCCTTGAGGTAAAGTGCTGTTTTCTTTTCCAGGCACCTTTTTGCAAAGAAGTTGAAAACTTAAAAGGTTTCATCAAGGACTCTTTATTTCCTTCAAGAAGACACAAGGGTTATTTTCAGAAGGTTAAAACAACAGACTGATGTACTCTGTAACTGTAGTAATGTCTGCTAGAACAAATATTTGCCACAGCAAAGTGACTTGTGGAAGATTTAGTACAAAATATTGCAAATATTTCTATAAAGCTTCCCTTGTCAAAATAAAATGTTTGGGTTCTCTGCACCGGGTGCTTGCAAAAATCCTTGCAAAGTGCATTCATAGGGCACAATTTCAGGGGAGTTTTCCTCTCAGTAATGAAATATTTGGTTAAAAGGGTGAAGGTATCTTATCTGCAAGAAATATGAATAATTACTTCAATTGCATCATTTTATACTTATATCGCACTTACACGTCAGAAAAATCTAGTCATATGTGTACCATGTGCCATTACATTACCTCCTTTGGAAATAACATGAAGTAAGCTGTGCAAGCTAAGCAATCTTTTCTTTTTTCCTGTATCAGTTTAAAAATAAATCTCAGAAATGAGATGGTATTCCCACCCCTGGGGCATTCACAGTTGTTATTTCTGTTATCGTTGTTGTTTTCCCTGCAGTCCCCAGGGGATATGTGCATGAATGTTCACGCGCGCCCGCACCCGCAGGCTCGGGCCCACATGCCACCACAAACACCAGCACACTCCTAGACACAATGCCCTATACCTAGAGTGTTTTACTCTCTCTGTGCCACTCTTCAGATTTATCTATCTGGAGGTTTATGCATTAATTTGTAATCAAATCTACCTAATGTGATTATTATTAGATAAATGTATTTGAAGACCATGGTCAATAATTATTATACACTCAGGTGTGACCAGTGTATTTGAGAGGCATTTAATAAGATCTCTTCTCAGTTCCACTGCAAAAGTAGTAGCTATTTCTTCCACATGAAAGGCCATTATCAATTCTTTTGTGCCACAAGGAGTTCATTTAGTGTAGAGAAATGAAAAGAACAAGTTCTGAATAGGCCTGAAGGAGTTAGAGCAATTTCCCTAATTCTCAGCCTGACCTGTTGACAGGAAAGCAAGAAAAGAAACACCATGTGCCAGTCTCGTTGCTAAAGATCAATCTGCACTAGTGTGAAAGGAAGAAATTATCCCCACTTTACAGGCAAAAGAGAAGAAGACTCTGAACCTTTCACTAACTCGCCCAAGGTCGTTGCTGGTGAATAGAGATTAGAGATCCAAACCTAGGTGGGTTTGACAAGAAGGGTGTGTTCTTTACATCGTCTGGGGTGCTTTAGTGCAGTGACCCAGAGAATCAACCACATGTGCACAGTGCCTTACCTGCCTTAAGCCACTGGGAAGATTTAAGTCAAGTGATAAACAGGGATTAACCTCACATAATTATTGGAATACATTATTATGCTCACTTTGTGGGGATTTACATGGACATAAAATTTTAAATGGGGAAATCTTTGTTTCCCATCTGTGGAATTCCAGGGTTCTGAAGAGGGCGTAGAATCTCCTACTCTAGATAACATGGTGATGAAAAAGTGACTCTGGACCCTTGCACTTGCTCTGCCCTAAACTGTTGCAGTCTTATCTTTTTTTATTTATTATGTACCTTCATGGAATTTTGTTTAACAAAAGATTATATTACCAAAAAATAATGTTTTAAACCCAAGAAATTTTATGACCAAGGTCTTGGAATATGTTAAAAATATTTTAGAATACTTTTGATCAATATCATGACTTTCATAAAGTTGTAATTTTTGCATGTCATCTAAATGCCCATAGAATCAAAAAACCTAGTCAGTGAGAAGATTAGTGCTCTGCACAAACCTAGTTTATGCTCAAATTTCCAAGTAGTATGAAAGTATAGATTACTATATATATATATGCAATAGAGCTATCCCTGATAACATACATATAAATGTCATTCATATACACCAGTACTTGCTTAAGGAGTCATTCATAATCTGAAGGAAAGTTTTCTATGCATTTAAATTTTTAGTTTATATACAGGTGTAGCCAGCAGGATAGTAGTTTTTTATTTAATTTTAACCTAACGTAATCTACTGTGAAGAGACAATTATTATTTTTGTGATTTCAGTTCCTTTTAGAATTGTTCAGGGCAATGGTTACAACGTGAGCACATATATGGTTAGATCTATTAAAGTAAACTTCCAGGAGTGGGGAGCAGACCTTCATACCGGAAAATCATGCCCAGAAGGTTTTGAATGAACAACCACATTTGAAACCACTGATTTGGCCTATTTCATTTTCAGATGTGAAAAGTTTGCCCCCTCCCTGGAAGGCTATTTCATCTTCGTATAAAGTTTTCCAGTTACTGTGAGCACACCTTTAGCCACTCGAATCCCGATGCTGTCCAAGAACAAAATGAAGTGAGGCCGGGACGAGGAAGGCAGCGGGGCTGCACGGCCGCCCTGCCCTCAGAGTCTGTGTGAATGGTGAGTCAGTGGCTGATTCTCACGCGCGTGGTGGCTCTGCTTCTCGTCTACTCATCTTTGCATCCCCAGCCCTGTACCTGACGCATTTTAGGTGCTCAGTACCTGTGTGTTGCTTATAAAATACAATTAACCAGGGCATCACCCCAGTTCAATGGTAAGAACTCTTATCAGCAGTCCAGTTTTTGTCTCCTTTTTACTTAACCCAATTACTTCTTAATTTTAAGACGTTAACATAATCTGCTTTTTCTTTGGATTCCTTGGTAGCATTTTGCTTTGTTCTCTTAACTCCGCTTTTGATCTCTCCCGATAGTTCCCATTTCTTAATGATTCCCTTCTTTCACAGGCACAGCCAATCAATTATCCATCTTCTCCTCCACTTCCCAGAAGACTATGAATCCTCAGAGTATAGAAGCTCTCCTGATGCTGCTCCCAGACCGTGACCATGCTGGCAAAGCTTCTGCTCCCATGTGGCCGCATGTTTCATGACGAGAGCTACTAAAATGCAGGCAAGCACAAAGTCTTAATTGCTTGCTAGTGGGCACTCAGCCAATAAGCTGTTAGCAGAATGAAACCCAATCTTAAAGAAAAAGTGCTGAACCCCTCTCTGGATCACCCAGCCCCATATGGAATGCATGTGTTTTTTGAGGAGATTTGGGCATGATGATCTTTTTTTCCACTTTTGCCATGGGTATGTCAATCTATGGGTGGCTAGAACATTTTATTCTTAATGTAATAATCCTGGCTGCAGACAACTTCAAGAAACAACTCTGCACCTCGTCTCCCAACTCATGACATGGACAATTAATATAGTCTTAATTTTGTGTTCCTCTCTGAAAAGAACACTTTCAATGCCCTTTCCAACAAAATTGTTACTTTTAAGGATTTTTCCTTAAAAGGAATTTGAGATTGTCATTGTCTGGTTCAGTTGTTTGCTAAACAGTCTTTGCTAATTTTCCTCCCTAAATCTCAATTTACTTATCTTTATAATGACAAAAATGATAATGCCTTCCTGATATGCTGGCTATGAGGGTTTCATGGAAGTAAAAGTTCTTGGCAGTGCCTGGCACAAAGAAAATGTCCAATAAATGTTGGATCTTAATACCATTGGTAAAAATAATAGTCTAAAGCTTTCTCACTATAAAAGCATCTCAATATATAACAAATATTTAACACATGAGTTTCGGTGTTTGGGGGCCTCTTTTCTCTTTGATCTGTCATATTCAGGATTACATTTTGAAATATTTCTACAGCATCCTTCTTTTCTAAAAAGATTAAAAATCTCTTTTTATGTTACAGGTAACAAAAGCCTGGCAAGCAAGACATAGAGAAATATTGGTCTCTAGACTTCTCTTAATTTTAATATCACAGTGCTAAGCTCCAAAATTTAAGCCCTGTATTCCCTTCTAAATCCTGTAATACTGCAAACTTTCTATTACTGCTAAATGATCAAGATGAGGTGAGCATGAACTTTATTAGCTCCTGCAATGCTTGAGAGAATGGGATGTTCAAATTAATCATTAAAAGTTAGAGTGTTAGGGTAACTTTGCATTTCACTCTGGCTAGCATTCCCTCCCCAAAGCTTGTAATAATCCTTTGTCACACATCTGTCTGGAAAAGATTATTCCCAACAACCCAGGGCTGTATCCATCAATATCGAAGTCCTCTTTTCCATTTCTCTCAGGAGTTTTTGATGTCTTAATGCAAATAGGATGCTTGGTGGCCCACCTTCATATCCCGGAATTCCCCAAGGAGCATAAAGATTTTGTTCTTCCTAGGATATGTTTTTCATTTGCTCTCAATAATAAATTAATACTCCAGAGAAGCAATGCCAGTGGTTTCTGTTGTCAATTTCGATAATATTAATTTATTTGTTGATGTAGTAATTTTTAGCACAGAGAGACCTCATCCCAGAACTCTCATTAATATCAACAGCACATACACATAAGTACTATATGTATACTTTAAAGCATTAAAAATTACCTTTGTCATTTTCTTGGTAAACAATAAGAGCCAGATTTGATGAGGAAGAACTCGTCCGTATGGTAATTTGCTATCTTAAGAAATCAGGGAAAGCCATTTAAATTGCTAAGTTCAATAAAATGCCCTTAAAAATATCTATTCCCTTTCTCCCCAACCAATTCTAAACCTAGGAAAGGGTTACCGAGAAAGCCTGAATAGTGTCTTGTTTAACTTTGAATCAGATATGAATCCATTTATTTCTTCAAAAAATGGTAAGAATTAATTAATATTAATCTATAATCACATTGATGGAAAAATTAATGGAAACTTTAATAAAAATATAACCTTAACAGGATTTGAAGTTGTCCTTTAGAATATAAAGCATGCACTTGATCCACTAAGCAACTGGTCCTGTGCTACTAGCTGATGAAATTATAAAAATTAACGGCAGGATGATTTTTTTTTTTTTTTTTCATGCATAAGAGGTGCTTTTGAGAACTAAAAAGATAAAAAGCATTAAAAAGTAAAGTAAATTTAGAAACTGACCAAGCCCATGCAGTATTTTTATCTTTTTAGAATATATGTTTGTTTAGGGAGTTAAGGTGCTT